GGAGGGGGAGAGAGAGGGAGGGGAGAGAGAGAGGGAGGGGGAGAGAGGGGGAGAGAGAGAGAGAGAGAGAGAGAGTCTGGCAAAGAAGGTAAAACATCTTGCGCTTAAATCTCATGCAAAACATTAAACTCGGCATTAATTTATTGTTATGAGCCATCAATTTAATAGTCGATAGACTGTGAGGGAAATTAGTTTTAATTTAAGGTATGAATCAAATGTCTAGCGTTAATGTATGTGAGGGAAACTCAAACTCAAAGGGATATACTTTTATATTCTTATTCTTATTGTTAGTCCAGTGGCTGTCGAGTCCGACTCCAGACTCATATCTCTATACTATTGAGGCCTTGAATCTGTTTTTATGGCTTCAAATATACGGCTAAACAATCTTTATTTCACTTTTTACTACATTTTTGGTGTGAAATTTAGGTGAATTTTGTATCATTTATGTGACAATAATTGATAATAAAATTAGTGTTAAAAAAGTTTGTTATCTTATAGTGAAAGATAATTGTCTGATATTGCGATATATTTTTTGTGTAAATTTGCTTTAATTGATGTCTGCAAACGAGTTGATGACTTGAACTGGATTTATGGCCACAATAAAGGCATCTCTTTACAAACGACACATGAATAACAAAATTAACTTAATTTTAAGCAAAACAAAACACAAAATAAATAATCAAAAGGTGTGAAAAACATTTATATTATATAATAATTATATATTTTTGTTGTATTTGTTGTTTCATTCAATTTATATTCAAATAGTGTTTGGCTTTTCATCGCATGTATTGATGAAAGTGAGAGATATAAAGAGATTAAATAACAAGTCTTTTAATTGTGTATTAAATGGTAATTAAATAACAATTAAATAGCAATGAAATGGTCTTCATTTAAAATATCAATTGCTGTGAATTACTTTTCATATTTAACATATTTACTGTTTCATTTAAAATAACTAGGTGCCATATTTGTGTAATTTAATAACAAAGTAGTTTGTGGTTTGCGTGGATTAAGGTAATAATTTTAAAAATGTTGTATTTTTTTATATTATTGCAGTATTAATTCAAAATGAGAATATAGATTCAGTTTTTTTGGTGCACTCTTATTGACATAGGTTTTGCCGCTAAACAATTGTTAGTCTTATATGGCTAAACAATGCTCTCTCTCTCTCTCTCTCTCTCTCTCTCTCTCTCTCTTATGCAACACTACCTGTTGTGTAAAAATGTGAGTTTTAATAGGTTTTTAGTCATAAAATTTAATGTTCTTCAAAAACGTACAACAATTTCGTTTTGGTTTAGTGTCGGTAAACCAAAAGTGTTTGTCTATTTTTAAATGTTTTTTGTTGTAATAGTAATTACGCAAAAAAATTCTAATAGTTATTCACATGAAAACTACTTTATATAAATTTTGCTATACTTATCGATATGCATGTGATTGTGAAATAGGAGTTTAAATATTGTTTTAATTTAACTTCGGTTTCACATCTATTTATTTGTGTCACTTCTTTGTATTTAATATTTTTGGTAAATATATGTTGTGTTAAGTCATCCGTATTTAACACCGATTTCATAGCATTTATTAGTTTCAAATCGTGATCGGGAGTCCATTTCTCGGTCTCATAGGGCTGTCCAGAGATGTTATAGTTTTGTCTAATATTATCCTTAACTGTAATGGGGTTTGCATTGAAATGTTTCGGCAATTTTAGTCCATTTGTTGCCATACATTGAATGCAATGTCTTTAAATTCTTCCTCTCATTTGTGGTCAAATCCTTAATCTCTTTAATGAATTGAATTTAGTCCTCGCCGTATCCCAGACCTGTTTAAGCGTACGGTTAGGCAAACCATAGCCTAATCTCAGGTAAAACTTTTCACGTTTTATAAAAGTCATAAACATTTTTCTATCACTTTTGCTGTATTTAGCACTTCGGGAGAAAAACCTTAATAAACGTGTTTTCGTGTTTCATCGCAATTGAATTCATCACAAAATGTTTGCCAATTGTTTCGCAAGATTTCAATCTCCTGTGAATTGAATTTCCCTATAATTACTTTAATGTTATTGTCTTTTATTAATTGTCTCTTATTTGATCCAAAATGTGGAGTAGGAATCAATAGATGTAACGGAGAATCACACATAAGGCATTCATTTTTAACAAAATTATTATTGTTCACTGAATTTATAACCACTTTATTAATAAAAGTATTTGTATTAAGAAAACTATTATCTATTTTATCACAACTTTTAACGCTATTGTTGTCATTGTTTAAAATATCAATTGTTTCAATACTTTGCATAATTAATTAAAAATACATTTAAAAAATTTATAAATAAATATGATTTTGAATCTAAACAAGAGTTGAATGCATGCAAAAAATTAAGTGTTTTGTGAATGAAATTTCAATTGATTTTTTATTAAATTTATTTTTATATTCTTTTATAAAAATTAAATAATAAGTACTCTTTAATATATCAATTATAATAAAAACAATTAATTAATTATACAATTTTCTATTGGAAATTATATACAGTACTAATTCACATATTTATACCGCAATAACAATTAATTAGCCGACAAAACAATTCAAACAAAATCATAAGTGAATAGAGAGCCGAAACTGAGAGAGAGAGAGAGAGAGAGAGAGAGAGAGAGAGAGAGAAACATTCATTCAAATGAGTTATTACTTAACGAATCTAGTTGTTTGCCTCGCGAACCGGCCGGACATTTGTCAACTCGTGGAAGTCTTCGCTGCACACGTGGCCTAAGTGTTACCGCGTGGCCGGTGTTACCGGTGACGGCTGTGGTCACCGATTTCTCGCCACTTATGGTGCAGCTCTCGGAACGGGTGGACTCGCCGTTGAAGTGGACGATCGCCTGTTTGTTTGCTTTGTTGGGTTTCCCGGAGTTGAGGGCCGTTTGGATTCTCTTGAGGCTATCGATTGACATCTGTTTGTAATTGGCGTCTGATTTGGAGCGCAAGGCTTCGATGATCTTCCCGTAAGACTTGATTGTTTTGCGCTGTTTCTCATCGCTTACGGCCCATCTCTTGGCCACCGCTTTCTCCGCCCTTTCCTGTCGTCTCCTCTCGCCGTCGACTCCTCTCGCATTCAACTCGACTGAGATCTTAAATTCTTCATTATTATCACTATTCTTATTGTCACTACTGTTTGGATCCATTGCTTATAAGAAGTATTATAATAATTACTGATAGATAATGATAACTGGCTTTGGGATCACAATTCAGAGTATATACTTGTTGTACAGTATAAGGGAGAGAGAGAGTGAGAGCACACACACACACAGTAGACTATATATACGTAAGTTATATAATGTGGATGAGAGAGAGAGAGAGAGAGAGAGAGAGAGAGTATCAAAACTATAGTATAGTTAAACTATAATAGAAATTAAGTTAAATATTATACTAAACTTCACTATTAAGTCGATATTAAGATTAGATACACATTAAATGTTTTGGTAGTTTTCGCTGTAATGCCTAAAATGCTTTTACACATTATACTAATAATAATATAAAAACTATTATGAATTGTAATTACGAGATAATTGTGTCAAAAAGTCGTCCAAAAAGTGCTTAATTACATGTGTTGTTAAGAAGAGATGTATTAAAAAGGATTAAAGTATTGAATATTAGATAAAAAAGGATAGCATTTGAAAGCCATAAATGTTGAGATAGAGTGTTGCGAAACCGACGCTCAGAGGCATCGGTTTGTATGTAAAGACAACAAAACATAAGTCAAGTAAACAATTAACTATAATTACAATTAAATAACATAATAAATAAGTTGTTCATCATTACTGTCGGGACCTATTGTGGGTGATCGTAGATGTGATGATCCTTTTTCATCATCGAGTGATGAGAAAGTGGTCGTTCCCACGGCTTCTGCAAACGAAATACATGTTTTGTTATACACTATACACACAACACATACACCTATGCATTATCTCAATGCCATATCAATAATTTAAACAATGGTAAAAAAAACACTCGATGTCATTCATCGATGACTGATTGCTGGGCTAAAAATCTATGGTAAAAAACATATGTGAAACTTACTTGCGATCCGTCGCCGCCCATAGGCATTGTCGCGTATGGCGTGGGGTATGGGTTGCCGTCCTCGCAGAGCATCATGGGTTTAGCGCTGGTCTTATCGAAGTCCATATACCGGGGCGTCGTTGCCGTATAGCCGGCGAACTGCTTGTGTAGAGTCGCGCTGTCCATCACAACTGCAATTGACCGCATATTATAGCCAAAAATTATGGTAAATTTACAAATGATATATCATATCGTGTTGTATAACTCACAGCCTTCGGCCGCCGCGCGACTTCTGATCCGTCGGACGCAAACAAACGCAAAGATAATGACTATAACAATGATAACCACTGCCGACAGCAACGGTATTGTGAACGACGGCTGCAGATAATAGGGCCCGTCGTTGAAGAATTGGTTCATAATCTCGTTTTGTATCATTTTGAAGTCTGATTTCAATTAGATATTCAATACAATAAACCAATTGTTTTACAATAATTATAACAAGAATTATAGTATATTTTGCTGCAAAAACAACACTACCGGTAAAAACTATTCTGTATTGAATAAAAACCTATAGATAAGGCATGTATGAAAATAATAGACAACATAAACACTAAAAAATGTATAAAAATATAAAGATTATACTGTATTAAGATTTCTAGATAACTAATTAAATACTAAAAACATGATAATGTTGTGCCAATACATACCGCCTTCAGTTCTGGTGACCACTATATTGCTGGGATCACTGAAGCCGTATCTGTTGAGTGCAGTGATATACACATTATACTGAACGCCAAACTCCAGATTCTGTAGGCTATAGGTATAGGTGGAGAAGGCGGCGGCCGACGGGTCGGCGGTCACGGGTGTGGGCGTTGTCAACGATGTGAGCGGTATTTCCTTCCACTTGGGTTCGCCCTCTTTCTTGTAGTGAATCGTATAACTCGTGGTCGGCGTCTGTGACTCTCGCAGATCTTTCTGATGCCATCGAAGCGATATTGAACTCCCCGTCGACTCAATGGCCGACAGCTGTTGAGCGGCCGGGAGGTCGCCGTTGTAAGTGTTGGCCAGCATTTCGTGCGATTGCGGTCCACTGCCGGCCGAGTTGTACGCCTTGACCACAACGGCGTATTCGGTGCCCTTCGAGAGGTCCCGCAAAAAGTATTCATAGGTTTCGGTTTCGGCGCTTTTGGACGCCTGAGTGGCCTTCGATTCGACCAGTTTTAGGATAAACGGATGGTTAGTCTCCCGAGCCTTGCGATAGCCGACGTAAAAGCCTTTGATCGCGCCGTTCCAGTGCTCAGCGGGCGGTGCCCTCCACGTGACGCGTATGGTTGTCGGCCCTTTGCTCTCCACTGTCATATCGTTGGGCGGCGCCGACGGCTCCTCTTCGCCGGTGACAAACGTGACGGTGTCGGCCGCCTCTCCCCTCCCGACCTCATTCTCGCCCACGACTGTCATCTCGTAGGACAGGCCAGGGCTCAGGTCTTTGATCAATGCTGTGGTCTGCGTACTGCTGGCCGTAATCTCGTGCAGTCTGTGCGGTGCGCTTTGATGTCTCCAATACTGTATCGTGTATTTAGTGAGCGGAGAGTTACCCGAATAGGGGGCCGACCACACGATTCGGGCCGTTCGCGACCAGACCTCCTTCACGTGCACATTGGTTGGCGGTCCGGGAACCTCTGCAAATGTCACCCATGGGTTAATCAGGTTTGAATATATCTAATTGAATACTCAATACATACCGAGTACTACCAGTTTGATAGTGCGTTCGTCCTTTCCGTGTGTATTCTCGGCCTCGCATTTATAGATCGATCCGTCAGTCCTTTGGGTTGTCCTCAACAACAGCTCCGATGAAACCCCGTATTCGGTCGTCATTTCAAATATTTCATAACTATTTAATGAATCAAATGGTTGTGAATTAAATATATTAAACTGAAAATCTATCATGGTTAAACTTACTTATTATTTCCCAATACAAGCTCAAATTGCAATAGAAATCAGGTAAACTATCGGTCCCCAACTAGAGGTCTTTGTAACGTAAACTCAGCTCGCGAGAGAGGAGAGAAGTGAACGTAATCTGATATGAAGAGCAGTTTGAAGCGGCGAACTGAGAGTAAGTATGAAAATATTTAATAAAAAACAATAGCAATAATTTTGAGCGTAAAATGTGTGCCAATACTTCATAACAAAAATTAATTCACAAATTATAATATATTTTACCCGCAATTCGTAGTGAAATAACTTTTTTCAACAAAACCTTATGATTAACATCAGAGACAATACATTCATATAAACCAGAATCCGATGACTGAATGTTCGCAAACTTAAGTATATTTCCATTTATTTCGTTATATTTATGACTATTTGTATTAATTGCGGAAATTTTCCTCCAAATAATCCGCGGTTTCGGCGATCCGTCGGCCGAACACTCAATGACCACATTATCTCCAACTCTGGCGCTGCTATTCTTGGGCTCAGTAATCCATTTCGAGGGCACAAACACTTCTAATCTGATTAATTGGAAATCAGATCCAAAGGCATTCTTCGCCAAACACGTGTAATTGCCTCCACTTTCACCACTTATATCACTGATAAACAGTGAAGATATAGCTTCGGTGTCATCGGATTTAATGGTAATCCCATTTTGAGATTTAAATAATTGTTGACCATTTTTAGACCACATGAAGAATACGGGACGAGTGCCCGACTCTATGGCACAGGTAGAAGAAAATCTGGTTCCTTGTATAAGTGGGCCATTGGGCTGATACAGTGGTATTATCTTTGGCGACTCTGAACCAATCGTTATAATTAACACATGTTTTGTCTCAACACTAGTAATCACTTACCTGTGCTCTCTATTGCTTTAATAGTAGTTATGAATACAATAGACGCGATATATTTTGAATCAAACATTTTAACCAAAAAAAATATATGATTGTCTGGTTTTTCATTTGCAAATAATGGCTTAAAACACAACTCAAAAGCAAGTATTGGCTGCAAAGGCGACACATTTTGCTCAACAATTCAAATGAAAGGCACAAAAAAATAATTGAGAGATTAAGACACTCACCACTGAAGAAGACATTAATGGTTTTTCGCAATGAATCTCCGATACCATTGTCTGCAATGCATTCATATGTCTCACTACTGCCGGACCGGAAATTTGCCAGATTTAAGACCTCGCCTTCGGTTACCTTTCCTATAAAATTATCACAAAAATCATAAGTATTTTACACATAATATCCCATAGAAAACAGCATACCTTTAGAGCTAACCCACTTGACAGTAGGTTTGGGCAAACCGTCGGCCAAACACTCGACCACCACATCGTCGCCGGCCTTCAACCGGACGTCTTTGGGTTCCTTAAGCCAAGTCGGGGGTACTGTTGGACACAATTGGAGATAATATTGCGGTTAATAATTGTCTCAATGGTTGCCATTGAATACCTTTGACGCTAAGGACAACAGTTTGTGAATCTCTGCCAAAAGTATTGCTAACAAAACAGGAATAGTTCGCGGAATCACTTCTCTGTACGCTTGCGATCGATAGGATCGACAACTCTTCAGAAGTCTCTATCCTATGATTATTATCTGATTTTAATTCAGACTTATTTTTAAACCATTTGAACTCCAGAGGAATGGATCCCTTCTGTATGGAGCAAAGTGTGCGAAACTTTGTACCTTCGCCTTGACTTATGATAGACTTCCCAACAGTAATCAGTTTAGGAGCTAATGATAAGTAATTAACTAATTATCTAATGAATTACACATCTATGACAATATACGATACCCTCTCCGGCAGTGATCGATGTAATAGTGATTAAAACTGAACACAAGCTTAAGAAATACATCTCTGTTTTGAAACAAACTAATGGCTGACAATATTTTTGATGATTACTTCACTCCAAGAACTAATAGATTGGACACACATTGCGCCACATTTTGCCGCAGATTTAATACATTAAAAGTTTTTAAAACATTTTACTGTTAATAATTTTTGAGACAACGATTCACAAACAGTGTTAGCAATACTTTTTTGGCATTAAAATTGTATAATTATATAAATTAATATTAATTATTAACTTATAATTACAAATAGAAAGATATTATAAATAATTGTAAAATATAAATAAAGTAAAAGTATAATTATTTTAAAAAATTGTTAAAACAATCAAACCTTTGACATAAAGAATAGTGGTTTGAATATCAGAACCGAAAGCATTGCTCGCAATACACGAATAGTTTCCGAAATCATTTGTATTGACATTAGTTATGGTTAACTCGGAATCAAATGAATTATCGATATAATAATGATTAGATTCCGGACTATTAAACAATTGAACGCCATTTTTAACCCACTTATAAAACACTGGTTTAGTGCCGGTTATAGTTTGGCACAAAAACCTAAACGAAGTGCCCTTGCTCAATTCAAGCGATGATATAAATGGGTATACTTTGGGCGCTTCTGGTGTTTGTAATGTAAACGTGAATTCAATGAATTAATGGCCAATAATTGTGACATTTTTTTATATAATTACATACCATTACAAGCGATTGGATTATAATGCAGTATAATTATTGTAACAAAAATTACAAACAGAGGGATTGCCATAATTAATAACAATATTTTAACCATTAATGATATGATACAAACACCACATGTAAAGACAAAACTCAATAATGAACACTTGATTTTAGTTACAAAAACTCCACATTTACGGTGCTATACTAAAATGAGTCTTGAGACTGAGGTTTAGTTTGAAGACTGAGGTTGAGCTCGACTTCTATTCTAAAATCAAACTCAGCAAAGTTTGGTCTCAAGGTTGAGCTCAAACTCGGGTAAATCTCAAGACTGACTGTGATCAACTTTATCCCTGAAAGTTGGCCTCACAGTAGTGTTTACAACAGTAAAGTTTGTATTGCATTGCATTGAAGCGTTGTGTATAAGCGTAGATTACAGGCGCGGCGTTTAACTTGATAATTATAACATTGATTGTAAATTCATACAAATTGTTTGAATTGAAATATTTTTTCATCAAATCAGATGTAAATAAATGTATGTCTTGCTGATAATGTTATATAACATTCACATTCATATAATGATTGCAAAAATCATGTTTAAAAGTGACATCAAATTAAGTCTTAATAATTATTATCTAAAATTAATTTCATGGGAAAGATTTGTGTTTCAATTATGCTTTCATTGAATTAAATATATATTAATTATAATTGAATGCTATTTAGGGCTAGAATTATGATTGGTATGATTTTTGAGCACTTGTTTACATATAAAACCCGTTTTCATGTAAACAGATGTTTGATAGAGTTTGCGCTATTGATATTCGCAATTGTGAGATTCAACTTTTCGAGATCCAGTTCAAAACTCTTTTTGAATAGAATCTCGAGTTTGAGCTCAACTTCAGTCTCCAAAAGGATTAACTCGAGTTCAAACTCAGCCTCGAGTAAGAAAATTCTTAGTATAGCACTGTTAATGTGATATTCATTGGCCGAGAAATACACACAATTTATTTGCTATTTGATGTGTACTGAACACTGAGTACTGGATTATATGGGATTAAATGATATCAACAGCACAGGTGTCCATATGTTTTGGACATAAAAAATCAGGTTTTATGTATAGATAAGTTACTGAATAGATGAAAAGTTAAAAGTAAACCCTATTTATAGCACATGTTAAAAGTATTAAGTGATTAAGGGATGAGTGAAAGTATTCAGTGATTATGATTTGAACGAAAAATTGATTATATATTTAAAATTATAACATGATTTTGATTTTAAAAATATTTTTTGTTGTAAAACATACTTTTGAATATTAGATTTCATATTCAAAATTAATTAATTGATAAAAATTATGCAAATGTAGGCGTAATATAAATATTTATATTGAGATTTATTTTTGAAGAGTCATTTCCCACGAGTCTATCGCTGTTTGTTTTCATCATTTTATGCAAATATATTTTCAAAACTATATAATTAGCGATAAAAGGGATATAAAAATATGATATAAACAGCGAATACCTTCGACAGTGAGGATAACGTATTGAGAATCGGATCCGAAAACATTGCTCACAAGACATGAATAATTGGCCGCATCTGAAGACACTATGGATGCGATCGTAAGCGTCGAGAATCGGTCAAAATTATCAATTTTATAGTTCACTTCCGGACCCGATCTCAATGTCTGACCATTTCTAGACCACTGGAAAGTCAATGGATTTAAACCTCTTTGAACTGAGCAGACCTGGAGGAAGGATGAGCCTATTGTTAGGCTCTGTATTGTCAAAATAGGTCCTAATTTGGGCACTATTTAAAGCAAAGTCTTATTATAATCATTTTTATGTTTAATTTCTTGATAAAATACCTGACAATTCATTTGTTGTGATGTGTGTTATAAAACACAACCAAATTAATGATATATTTAAATACTTGAATAGCATTGTAAACACTGAATGTGGTATTTATGAGACAATTATGGCTGATATCAAGTACTCAATAGTCTATTGTATGGCAAAGTATATACCGAAAGATCAGACATTTGCGCCACACTTTGCTTTGCAAACAATTTGTTATTCATTTTAAAGATATGTATCAAAAATTTTCATTAAAAACTTGTAAAAAGTCAAACAATATATTAAAAACGTGTTCAGGTATACAGAAATATGTCAAACTTTTTTTTAAATAAATAAATAACTATAGCATTAAGTGTATTAAACCCGAAATAACAATACAATTCATACCTTTAATGTTAAGCAAAACATTTTGAGTGTCAGAACCGAAAGCATTGCTAACAAAACAGCTATAATTTCCGGCATCTCTTCTCTCGATCTTTGATATCGAAAACGTCGAAAATTTATCGAAATTATCGATCTTATAGTCGACGCCCGGACTCGGCTTAAGTGGCCGTCCATTTCGGGACCACTCAAAAAACACGGGCAAAGATCCCGACTCTAGTGTACAAAACACTTGGAAATGAGTTCCTATAGATTGAGTCTTGTTATCGACGCCTGAAAAGCCCAACTTTGGGCCTGAATTTGAATAAAATTATTGTTATTTTAATAAGTTTTGAGATAATAACACAGAAAATACCTGAAGACTCATCCGAATAAATATTATTTATAAGAATTAACACAAATATAACATATTTGAGACACATTTTAGAGATTAGTTAAGAATAGATCACAAAAATAATGGCTGACTTAAGAGTCGGATATATTTTCAAACAAAATAGTATTGAATACAAGAAATGTATGGATATATTGCGCCACACATTGATTCACAACACAATTGGTTTTAAATATTTCTAATAGAAATATCATGTTTTTATACTAAATTAATCAATTTAATTTTTCCATATACACTAGCACAGATTTAGAGTTCACTAATATTAATAATAGTATTAACTGTAAATATTAAAATTTATAAAATCAGTTCATAAATACATTAATCTGTTTACCATTTATTGATAATAAAGTCGATTGTCTATCAGAACCGAAAGCATTTCTTACAAGACATGTATAGTTAGCCGAGTCTTTCATTTCAATCTTCTTTATAGTAAGTGTTGAAAACATTTCAAAGTTTTCAATCTTATAATTAACTTCAGGACCCGACTTAAGTGTCTGACCATTTCGTGACCACTCGTAAAACACGGGCAAAGAGCCGGTCTCTACGGTACACAACACTTGGAAATTGGATCCAATGGACTGATCCTTTTGTTTGATAGCTTTGGCTAATTTAGGGGCTGTTATAAGACATAATCTAATTATTATCATTGAATTATTGCTATTAATATTGACAACAAAATACCTGAAGATTGAGAGGAATAGACAGCATTTGAAACATACAAAATGCAAACAAATATTTGGATAAACACACAATTAAACCACATTTTCATAGATCAAGACATAGGGATATGTTATGCAAAACAATGGCTGACATTAATGTCGAAGAAATCTGTGATACAAACAGAGTATAAACAAGAAGTGAATGAAGATATCACTCGCGCCACACATTGATTCCCAATACAATTGGTTTACTTAATACAAGTATTATAATTTTGTTGTCAGTATTACGATATTAAAAATATTTTCTGAATCATTATCCTGTTTATAATATTAACACACTTACAGTTAGTAACACAATAAGTAAATATTTTACTTATTACTAGTTATTTTTATTAAATATCTATTTAAATAAATAATATTTATAATTTTATATCAAAATAGGTTCATTAGGGTTAGCCAAGTGGTCTAACCTTGCATGACATACTCGTGTTATGTATTTTGTTTGTATATAATTTAATTAACTCATAATTATATTTTAAAATATTATTATAAATTACATAATAATTCAATACTATATTAGAGTTAATCAGACCTTTAATTGATAATAAAATGGTTCGCCGATCGGTTCCGAAAGCATTGCTCACAAGACATGTATAGTTTGCGAAATCATTTCTTACGAGATTATCGATAGAAAAAGTGGAGTATTTCTTAAAGTTTTCAATTTTATAGTTAGTGTCGGGACTCGACTTAATTGTCTGTCCATTTCTGAACCACACAAACAATACGGGCAAAGAACCCGTCGCTACCGTACAAAACACTTGGAAATGACTGCCAACTGATTGGGTATTATTGATGACACCAGAGATGCCTAACTTTGGCGCTGATATAAAAGTAAATGTTATGATCAATGAATGTCACAAATGATTGTTATTATCTATAATACCTGAGGAATCATTTGAATAGATTGTATTCAAGAGATGTAACATTGAAAATAAAATTATCTCATATTTGAGCCACATTTTGGACATCAATAATAGTATTCAATAGTAAATAATGGCTGACTTTTATGTCAGAAAAATATATTTTCAGACAAAATAGTATTGAATACAAGAAATGTATGGATATATTGCGCCACACATTGATTCACAACACAATTGGTTTTAAGATATTTGCCTATTATATTGCAAATGATAGTAAGAATGTGCATTGTATTTAAAAATCCAAACATAGCAATACATAATAGATTTTGTTAAACACCTATGTAAATTGTTATATTAATCATGTTATGTTTTATATAAAATTGATAATATAAAATAATTAAATTAAATATTTTCACCATTTATTGATAATAGTGTCGATTGTCTGTCAGAACCGAAAGCATTGCTCACAAGACATGTATAATTAGCCGCATCTTTGGTCTCAATCTTCTTTATAACAAGTGTTGAAAACATATCATTGTTTTCAATCTTATAGTTAACTTCGGGACCCGTTTTGAGTGACTGTCCATTTAGTGACCACTCAAAGAATATGGGCAAAGAACCGGTCTCTACAGTACAAAACACTTGGAAATGAGATCCTATAGACTGATCCTTTTGTTTGGTATATTTGGTTAATTTAGGGGCTGTTATGAGACAAATGGTAATTATTTGTTTGAATCATAGAATGTTTGGATACAAAATACCTGATGACTGAAAGCTATGGACATCGGTTAACACAATTAAAATACAGACACAAGTAAAACAATTTTTAAATAACATTTTGTCAAATTAATGGCAAAGAGTATGGTATGGAAAATAATGGCTGACTTTAATGTCATAGAAAAATATTTTCAGACAAAATAAGAGTAAATACAAGAAATAATAGGATATATTGCGCCACACATTGATTCACAACACAATTTGTGATAATACAAGAAGTGTATTAAACTTGTATTGTATTTATTATAATAACCAGCGATATTAAAGTTAATATAACTTAATGGATAATATTCTAACCGAGATGTAATATAGTATATTTATTAAATTTATATTTATAATAATAACCATTTATATTATATAATAGATTACATGAAACCATATTATCATACCTTTAATTGATAATAAAATAGATAGTCTATCGGTTCCAAAGTTATTCCTCGCAACACATGTATAGTTCGCGGAATCACTTCTTTGGATATTTTTTATGGTAAAAGTGGAAAACATTTCATTGTTTTCAATCCTATAGTTAACGTCAGGACTGGACTTAATTTGATGTCCATTTTGTGTCCACTCGAAGAATAAAGGCTGAGATCCGGTTTCAACCGAACAGAATATCTGGAAATTACTACCAATTGGTTGAGTCTTATTAATGATACCAGAAATTGCTAACTTCGGGGCTAATGGCAAATGTTATGATCAATGAATGGAATAAATGATTGCTATTATCTATAATACCTGAGGAATCATACGAATAGATAGTATTCAAGAGATTTAATATTAAAAACACATTTATCTCATATTTGCTCCACATTTTCATAACAAACACTACTATTCAATAGCAAATAATGGCTGACTTTTATGTCAGAAAAAAGTATTTTCAGACAAAATAGGAGTAAAACCAATGTTTGAGAGGATATATTGCGCCACACATTGATTCACAACACAATTGGTTTGAATATATTATATATATTTGACTCTTATATGGGAAACAAATCTCAATGACTGAACTGTAAGGCATTTCCCAATACAACACAAGTCTGCCAAACAATAACATTAACACAATTAAAGATTAAATAAAGTTAAATAAAAATTATATAAAATTAATTATAATAAATATATCGACCTTTGATTGATAATAACATCGACTGACTATCAGTTCCGAAGACATTCCTCACAAGACATGTATAGTTCGCGGAATCACTTCTTGTGATCTCATCGATAGTAAGTGTAGAGAACTTCTTAGAGCTCTCTATCTTATAGTTAACTTCGGGACCAGTTTTGAGTGACTGTCCATTTCTGGACCACTCAAAGAATACGGGCGAAGAACCCGATTCTATAGTACATAATACTTGAAAATGACTTCCAATGGATAGACTCTTATGGGACACAATTGAGCCCAACTTTGGCACTGATTGTAATGGAAATTAATGTTTAATTATTTAATTTATAATTAAATACGAAATATTATACCCGAAGCGCCATAAGAGTTGATTTGATATAAAATACAAACAATAATTAAATATGTTTTGCACAACATTTTCAACATTAGAGGCAATGAATATAATCGTGTAAATAATGGCTGACTTTTATGTCAGGAAAATCATAGATTGAGACAAAACCGAGTCGTGAAAGACATGAAATGTATGGATATATTGCGCCACACATTGATTCACAACACAATTGGTTTGAATATATTTCATGTGTTATTATATACGAAACACATAAACTGTAAGAATAGACATGGTTTTCAATGGAGTTTCGCTTTGAAATATAAACTAACCAAGATAATAATAGAAATAAATAATTTATGAAATTATCGTATAAATAATTAGCATTAATTAAGATTTATTAAATCAAATGCTTTACCATTGATTGATAGTAAAACTGTTTGTCTGTCAGAACCAAAAGCATTGCTCACAAGACATGTATAATTAGCCGCATCTTTGGTCTCAATCTTCTCAATAATAAAAGTGGAAAACATTTTCGAGTTTTCAATCTTATAGTTAACTTCGGGACTGGTTTTGAGTGTCTGTCCATTTCGCGACCACTCGTAAAACACGGGCAAAGATCCCGACTCTACGGTACAAAACACCTGAAAGTAAGTGCCAATTGACTGACTCTTATGCGATACATGTTTGGATAATTTAGGTCCTGATATGAAAGCAAATATAATGAATATTAATTAAATTAATTACATAAATATTTTGTAGCAATAATACCCTTGGGTTCGTCACAATAGGAATTGTTTATAGCAATGATAATAATCACAATATTTAAGTAATAATTATATTTAGACAACATTTTTGTTGATCACAGGAAAGATGTTGTGACAAAATAATGGCTGACTTTATGTAAAGAAAATATATTTTCAGACAAAACACGAGTGAATACAAGAAATAATAGGATATATTGCGCCACACATTGATTCACAACACAATTGGTATAAATATATTATATGTACCGTATATTTGACTCGTATATGCATTTGACATTACATACAACTAAACTGTAAGCCGAGTATTAATTGGTAGTAATTAAGTACTAAAACTTGATGTGAAATATTTAATTATAAATAAAATTTAATATTAAATGCAATAATTTAAATATAATTTAATTCAATATTAAAATAAACCTTTAATTGACAACAAGACTGTGTGTCTGTCGTCTCCCAAAGCATTCTTCACAAGACATGTATAGTTTCCGGAATCACTTCTTGTGATCTCATCGATAGAGAAAGTGGAAAACTTTTTAAAATTTTCAATCTTATAGTTAACATCAGGACTGGATCTGAGTGTCTGTCCATTTCTGGACCACTCGAAGAACACGGGAAGAGATCCCTCTTCTAATGAACACGTTATATGAAATATTGAGCCAATAGTCTGTGTCTTATGGCTCACAGAATAACTCAATTTGGGTACTATTTATGGGATAAAAAGTATATTTAGTTTTGCAAACAATTATTGAGAAAATAATCGGATGAATACCTGAAGAAGAATTCGTATAACTATTGAAATGAAGTAAAATAATAGTGAAAACCAAACACTTGTAGTCCATTGTGTGGACTCGTATTCAACACTAAACTAAATAATGGCTGACTTTATGTCAAGAAAATACAATTTCAGACAAAAACAGTACACAAGAAGAGATCAAATGTTAGGATATATTGCGCCACACATTGATTCACAACACAATTGGCAAACATTTGGCGCAAACTTGTGAATATATTTGTGTTTGATATAAGAAACAAATGTATGTAAATTCAAATGATTGTTCCTAGTTTAATACTGTATATTCATTATAATAAATTTGAAGTATACCATAGGTTAAATGTTTAATATTTAAATGAGATTAAACCATAATAAATATGATTACCATTTATTGAGAGCACAACCGATATATTGTCAGAACCGAAACCATTGCTCGCAAGACATGTATAGTTCGCGGAATCACTTCTTCCGATATCATCGATAGAAAATGTGGAAAATTTCTTGAAGTTTTCAATCTTATAGTTGACATCCGGACCCGACCTGAGTGTCTGTCCATTTCGGAACCACTCATAAAACACGGGCAAAGATCCCGACTCTAAGTTACAGAATATCTGAAAGTAGGTTCCAATGGGTTGTGTCTTATGGGACACATGTTTGGCCAGATTTGGCGCTGATTTCAATGCAAATACAGGTATTAAACAAATGAAATGTCGTTTCAATAGATATAATACCTGACGATTGAGTGGAGGAAACATAAGTTAAAACAATTGTTATGTAAACTAACACAAAATTTAATTCAATTTTGGGCCACATTTTTACAAACAAACAACTCATAGAAATGTTATATCAAAATAATGGCCGACTTTTACGTCAAATAATTTTCAGACAAAGTATTATATGAAACAAGAAGTGAAAGAAGATATCACTCGCGCCACACATTGATTCCCAATACAATTGGTTTAAATGTTTATATATTGTGCTCTTATATGGGAAACATTGCAAACACCTGAACTGTAAGCCGAGTATCAATCCATTTGAGTTACTTTTATAAGTACTAAAACTTGTGGTAAAATATTTAAATGTGGATAAAATTTAAGATTAAATGCTATAATTAAACTATAAATTAATTAATATTAAAATCAACCTTTAATTGACAACAAGACTGTGTGTCTGTCGTCTCCCAAAGCATTCTTCACAAGACATGAATAATTTCCGGCATCTCTTCTCTCAATACTCTTTATAATAAAAGTTGAATGCATTTCAAAGTTTTCAATCTTATAGTTAACATCAGGACTGGATTTGAGTGACTGTCCATTTCTGGACCACTCGAAGAACACGGGAAGAGATCCCTCTTCTAATGAACACGTTATATGAAATATTGAGCCAATAGTCTGTGTCTTATGACTCACAGAATAACCCAATTTGGGTACTATTTATGGGATAAAAATTAGATTTAGTTTTGCAAACAATTATTGAGACAATAATCGGATGAATACCTGAAGAAGAATTCGTATAACTATTGAAATGAAGAAAAATAATAGTGAAAACCAAACACTTGTAGTCCATTGTGTGGACTCGTATTCAACACTAAACTAAATAATGGCTGACTTTATGTCAAGAAAATACAACTTCAGGCAAAAAACACTAAATCGGAGGATATATTGCGCCACACATTGATTCACAACACAATTGGCAAACATTTGGCGCAAAATTGTGAATAAGATTACAATTCAAAACTGTAACCAAACTGTATATCCATTGCAAGTCATAAATATAACGATATTTAAAATATTTGAACAAAACATATCATTGATATATTTTGTATATTTATCGATAGCCAACAAAATAAATAAAACTAATAAAACAAATAACAATATTAATTACAACCTCTTATGGATAGACTAACGCTCTGTCCGTCACTTCCGAACCCATTGTTTACAAGACATGAATAATTTCCGGCATCTCTCAACAAAATAAATAAAACTAATAAAACAAATAACAATATTAATTACAACCTCTTATGGATAGACTAACGCTCTGTCCGTCACTTCCGAACCCATTGTTTACAAGACATGAATAATTTCCGGCATCTCTTCTCTCAATACTCTTTATAGTAAGCGATGAATGAGTTTCAAAGTTATCTATTTTATAGTTAACGCCAGACATTGGTTTCAGTGGATCTCCATTTAGTGACCACAAGAAGAACACCGGAACAGATCCTTCTTCCACAGTACAAAATACTTGAAAGTTTGAGCCAATCGTTTGGCTCTTATGTGATACAGAATAGGCTAGTTTTGGGGCTAATAATTGGTATCAATCAGTAATATATCATTTATATTATCATATATTTTACCCAAAGAATCGTTTGATTGAATGCTTTCAATAAATAGTGTCAATAGAAGTGAAGACAAGTAATACTTTAACAACATTTTGATCGTGTATTTAGTGTTTGCAACAAATATAATGCAAGAGAAATAATGGCTGACATGAGAAGTAGATATTTGTGGTAAAATATCTTTGAAATAATGTCTACAACAGTGACACATATTGTATGCGATTCACAATTTGGTTCATAAGTTATTAAAACTAAATACAAAATTATATTCAATACCCGTTATGAAGAATTTACAATAAAATATGTTCAAAATGTACTTAAGATTTCAATATATCTTTTCACAATAAATGAATTAAATATTAATTAATATCGATATTAATTTAAATAATAATTTTATATCAAAATACCTTCAATTGATAACAAAACTGATTGACTGTCAGATCCAAAAGCATTTCTCACAAGACATGTATAGTTCGCGGAATCACTTCTTTGGATACTTTTTATGGTAAAAGTTGAATACATTTCAAAGTTTTCAATCTTATAGTTGACGTCAGGACTGGACTTAATTTGGTGTCCATTTTGTGACCACTCGAAGAACAGAGGAGGAGATCCTCCCTGTGCTGTACATGTGATCTGAAAGTATGAGCCCTCAGAATGGGTTCTTGAGTTCAATTGAGGCGTTAGTTTTGGGACTAAATTAAGATAATATTATGAAATATTTTGTTTGTGAACTCAATTCATATAACAATACCTGATATTAAATCAGAACTAATTACTAGAAATAATGAATTTATAATAAACACGAAATACTGTTTGGAAAACATTTTGATCACAACTTATACAGCGATTGGAGTAATGGCTGACAAGAAGTCTATGAGATCTACAGAAAATAAGACACTTCTCTATGGATTGATGTCTACAATAGTGCCACACATTGATTGCCATTCAATGCAGATATTATTTGGCGGTTTAGACATCACTTTTGAATTGTTTTTAACATAAACTGTAAGATGTGATTACAATCAGCTTATAAAATAAAACTATATTTCTGAACAGTCAATCAATTTACATAATAACTAGTAAAGCTAAACTATAATAAATTAAACCAAATTAATAATTCTAATAAATATGATGTTTTACCATTAATTGATAGTAATATAAATCTACTATTAGATCCAAATTCATTGTTGACAACACACGTATAGTTTCCAACATCTTTCATGTCAATGGATTTGATGGTAAAAGTGGAGTACATTTCATAATTATCAATCTTATAATTCACATCAGGTCTGGATTTGATTGTCTGTCCATTTTTAGACCACTCGAAGAACACTGGAAGTGATCCCTCTTCAAGAGTACAGACCATATGAAAGTTAGAGCCAATCGATTGAGTCTTATTTGAAACTCCATTATAACTCAATTTAGGGACTGATTTCATGAGAGAATATAATTAATACATCTCTTAATATAAATAACACATTATTATAATTACCAGAAGAGTTGCATAAATAGATTTGATTTACAATTACATAAATAAATATATAATACAGACAATACTTTGAATACATGTTAAGTCAAACACTACTAACAATATGTAAGATATGGAGTAAAATAATGGCTGACATGAAGATATCAATTGATGGCAAATACAGTAAGAATATAATGTCTACAACAGTGACACACATTGAATGCGATTCACAATTTGACACAACTTTTCATTTCAAATATAAGTTTGAAAACATTTTTCTCTTGAACTGAATATAATTCAGATATCATGTGATAAATATTCATTTAAATATAATTAGTTTAAAATTACAACAAAATACTTATAATGTATAGCAGAGTAGAGCACAAGTCGTGCATTTCATACCATTGATTGTTAATAAAACGGTTTGTCTATCATTTCCAACAGAATCCCTAACAATACACGTATAGTTCGCGGAATCATTCCTCTGGATCTCATCGATTGTAAAAGTGGAGTATTTTTTGAAATTTTCAATCTTATAGTTGACATCAGGTGTTGATTTAACAATTTGTCCATTGATTAGCCACTCGAAGAATAGGGGAGGACTGCCCTCCTGTACGGGACAAGTCATCTGAAACATTGAGCCCTCATTCTGTTGTCTCGGATACAATGGGGTGAGTTTAAGAGCTAAAACCATGAATGTAAATACTTTATCAATTATCAGCCAGCTAATCTGAAAACTAATTTGACCAAGACAATACCTGATAAGTTATCAATAGTGGTCATCAAAATAAGGCAAATATAAGCATTAAATTTATAATTGAGAAACATTTTGACAACACTTTCAAATGAATAGAGATATGAAAACAATGGCCGACAGGAATAGTATAAGTGCTGAAGAAAATAAGACACTTCTCTATGGACTGATGTCTACAATAGTGCCACACATTGATTGCCATTCAATGCAGACATCATTTGGCGGTTAAGACATCACTTTTGAATTGCATTACAGTTTCAATACAAACTGTAAGACAGTGTTTAAAACACTTCAAGAATATAACTCTATGTAAATATTGGTAGAAATGTTTTATAGATTTTGTATAAAATTTAAATATTATTTTATAATAAAATAATTATTAATATTCATACCATTAATTGATAGTAAAATAGATCTACTATTAGATCCAAATTCATTGCTAACAACACACGTATAGTTCCCGACATCAGACATATCAATGGATCTCATGGTAAGTGTCGAGTGATCCTCAAAATTATCGATCTTATAATTCACGTCAGGCTTTGATTTGATTGTCTGTCCATTTCTGGACCACTCGAAGAACACTGGAACTGATCCCTCTTCGAGAGAACATAGCATTTTAAACATGGATCCAATGGATTGGTTCTTATGGGTTAAACCAGAACTCAATTTCGGTGCTAAAGGTTATATAAAACTCGATATAATTTAAATTATTTCAAAATTAGTATTGAATTTACCCGAAGATCTGTTGCAATGAATTTCATTTACAAATAGCAAACATATGAAAGAAATTAAACAATATTTTGGACACATTTTTGCAATGAATTTATGATAAGAAATAAACAGCAAAACAATGGCTGACAATAAAGTGAAGAATTGATGGCAAAGATGTTTGGGATAATGTCTACAACAGTGACACACTTTGAATGCGATTCACAATTTGCCGGATATTTTATGTTCAAAATAAAAGTTTTTATACAAATAAATAATGTATTAAACATTTAAAAATATATGTCTAAATGAGAGTAATCAATAATTTCTTTAAATCATATTAATTCTCAGCAAAATTAAAAAAGTATTGCTTTTAAATTATCAAATAAATACAAAACTGTATTGTTTTTAAATACCTTTAATTGACAACAAAACAGACTGACTGTCAGATTGCATAGCATTGCGAACAATACACGTATAGTTTGCGGAATCGTTTCTCTCAATCTTTTCAATAGTAAACGTGGAAAACATTTTTGAATTTTCAATCTTATAGTTAACTTCGGGACCCGTTTTGAGTGTCTGTCCATTTCGTAACCACTCGAAGAAGAGGGGAGGACTTCCCTCTTGTACTGAACAGATGCTTATAAAATACGAGCCCTCACTCTGACTGACCGGATAAAGTGGGGCCAACTTTAGGGCTATAATTATATTTGAGATTAATATGAATTCATGTAATCATAAAAGCAATACCTGTCGAAGAATTCGCAATAATTGACAAACATATGAATATCACAAATAAACGATAAAATATACTAATATTCTGTGAGAAAGTCATGTTTTGTCAACACTTTATACGAGTGAATGAAGTAATGGCTGACAAAGAGTCACAAAAATATTCTGCGAGACCTCAAGAAAATAAGACACTTCTCTATGGATTGATGTCTACAATAGTGCCACACATTGATTGCCATTCAATGCAGACATCATTTGGCGGTTTAGACGCGAGTTTGAAATGTATATATAGTTTCAATACAAACTGTAAGACTGTAAGACAAACAGTGGAGAATTAGATTCAAAATATTTAGATGTTTTTAAAATGAAATATTTCATAATAAATATCCTTATGATTATTATTTTAGATTAAATGATTTACCATTAATTGATAATAGAGTTGATCTACTATTAGATCCAAATTCATTGCTAACAACACACGTATAGTTAGCCACATCTTTCATCGATATATTCTCAATAGTAAGTGTGGAAAACATTTTGAAATTTTCAATCTTATAGTTGACATCAGGTCTGGACTTAATCTGTTGTCCATTAATAGCCCACTCGAAGAACACGGGAAAAGATCCCTCTTCTAGAGTGCATACAATCTGAAAGTTAGATCCAATGCTTTGGTTCTTATGAAACAAACCAGAGCTTAGTTTTGGTACTAATTATTGGAAATACATGAATGTTATCTCAATTATGTTTACTCTATTGTGGTGTCTATACATTACCCGCACAATAGGAATACAATATTTCATTCATCAATATTAAACACACAAAACAATTAAGATATTGTGAATGCATTTTACAGTGAGTTTATATACAGATATAACAACAAAACAATGGCTGACATTATGTGAGGAATTGATGGCAAAGATATAATATCTGTGAGAATATAATGTCTACAACAGTGACACACTTTGAATGCGATTCACAATTTACCACAACTTTTCATTTCAAATATAAAAGTGCTATAAATAGGAAATTCAGTATTCAATCAGAATTCAAAGTATACTCGTATACGTAATAGATATTAAAACATCTCGGGTGATTTGTGATCACAATTAAATATTATAAATAAAATATATTCCAATTAAATATCATTTCCTACCATTGATTGTAAGCAAAACGGATTGTCTATCACTTTCAACAGAATCCCTAACAATACACGTATAGTTCGCGGAATCATTCCTCTGGATCTCATCGATAGTAAAAGTGGAGTATTTCTTAAAATTTTCAATTTTATAGTTGACATCAGGACTGGACTTAACGGTGTGTCCATTGATAGCCCACTCGAAGAATAGGGGAGGACTTCCCTCTTGTATAGCACAGGTCACCTGTAATACTGAGCCCACGGATTGAGTTCTTGGACTCAAAAGTGGCGTCAGTTTTAGGGCTAATGTCATGAAAGATATGAATTTAAAATATTTATATTGAATTGGGATCTAATGGACAATACCTGATAAATAGTCGGGAATTATCATAAGAATTATAAAACTTATATTTAATTCAATAAATAATTGGAATTTATATATTGAATACATTTTGACAACACTTTGTGATTATAATGAGAGTAATGGCCGACAAGAAGTCTATGAAATCTACAGAAAACAAGACACAAACTATGGATTAATGTCTACAATAGTGCCACACATTGATTGCCATTCAATGCAGACATCATTTGGCGGTTTAGACATCACTTTTGAATTGTATGTACAGTTCAATACAAACTGTAAGGTTTTATAACAATCATTGATAGAGTAATGAACTTTTTTTAAAAATATTTGTCAGTAATTTGATTAAAAAATATATTTAACTAAATATGAAAATAATATAAAAGATTATCGCAATTACCATTAATTGATAATATAGTTGATCTACTATTAGATCCAAATTCATTGCTAACAATACACGTATAGTTAGCCATATCTTTTAACTCGATCTTCTTTATCGTAAAACTGGTAAACATTTCAAAGTTTTCAATCTTATAGTTGACATCAGGACTCGATTTGATTGTCTGTCCATTTTGTGACCACTCGAAGAATACGGGAAAAGATCCCGATTCTAAAGTGCATACCATCTGAAAGATTGAACCAATGCTTTGGTTCATGTGAGACAACCCAGAGCTTAGTTTTGGTACTAATTGTTAAAAATACATGAATGTTATCTCAATTATATTTGTAGCTATTATGTTGTCTATACATTACCCGCACAATAGGAATACGATATTTCATTCATCAATATTAAACACATCAAACAATTAAAATATTGTGAATTCATTTTTACAATGAGTTTATATACAGATATAACAGCAAAACAATGGCTGACATTATGTGAGAAAGTGATGGCAAAGATCTTTGGGATAATGTCTACAACAGTGACACACCTTGAATGCGATTCACAATTTACCACAACTGTTCATTTCAAATATAAAAATGCTATAAATAGGAAATTAAGTAAAATGCAAGTTTCCACCAGAATTTATCACACATTCTTTTACACGACTTATTGTATTATAAATCACACAAATTGTGATTATAATTAAAAAAATAAATTTTTTTCTAAAATTATTGATAATTTATATATCAATTATTCAATATTTCCTACCATTGATTGTAAGCAAAACGGTTTGTCTGTCACTTCCCACAGAATCCCTAACAATACACGTATAGTTCGCGAAATCGCTTCTCGTTATCTTCTCAATAGTAAACGCGGAAAACATTTTGTAATTTTCAATCTTATAGTTGACGTCAGGACTGGACTTAACGGTGTGTCCATTGATAACCCACTCGAAGAAGAGGGGAGGACTTCCCTCTTGCATCGTACATGTGATCTGAAAATACGAGTCAATGCTTTGAGTCCTGGGACTCAATAGAGGAGTCAATTTGAGTGCTGATGTCATGTAAGAGATAGTCATTAGTTATAAACTTAAATATAATTGTTGGACAAATACCCGATAGGTTTTCAATTGTTATTAACAATATTATTACAAAATACAGTTCAAAAACTGAAGTGTATTTACAGTTGCAAAACATTTTGACAACACTTTATATACAAATAATGGGAAGTAATGGCCGACAGAAACTCAATCAGAGCTGAAGAATATGTGATAATAATGTTTTTAATGTCTACAACAGTGACACACATTGTGTGAGATTCACAATTGCTTTTACAATTGATTTCACATTGGATTCAATAATGAAACCATACTTTCAATGATAATTATCAGTAATCAAACCAAACATCATTATGTATTAAAAGCATGTATATAAAATACATAACAATTACTTACTTGCAATTATTTAATTTATATATTAATGATGCAGTGATTTATACTATAAATATTAAGTCTAATCCTACCTCTAATTGATAGAAACACAGACTGACTGTCGCTTTCCAATGCATTTCTAACAATACACGTATAGTTCGCGGAATCATTCCTCTGGATCTCATCGATAGTAAAAGTGGAGTATTTCTTAAAATTTTCAATTTTATAATTGACATCAGGTTTTGATTTAACAATTTGTCCATTGATTAGCCATTCAAAGAATAGGGGAGGACTGCCCTCCTGTACGGGACAAGTCATCTGAAACATTGAGCCCTCGTTTTGAGTTCTTGGGCTCAATAGTGGCGTCAGTTTTAGGGCTAATGTCATGAAAGATATGGATTTGAAATATTATATTGAATTGGAATCTAATGGACAATACCTGATAAATATTCGGGAATTATAATAAGAATTATAAAACTTATATTTAATTCAATAAATAACCGGAATTTAAATATTGAATACATTTTGACAACACTTTGTGATTATAATGAGAGTAATGGCCGACAAGAAGTCTATGAGATGTACAAAAAAATAAGACAAAAACTATGGACTGATGTCTACAATAGTGCCACACATTGATTGCCATTCAATGCAGATATCATTTGGCGGTTTAGACATCAGTTTGAAAAAATATTTTGTTCAAAACTGTAAGCCATTCTCAATACATAACCACATTATAATTAATAACAATCATAAGATATTTGTTTTAAATTTTCATTTTTGAATGACTTAAATACAAAATACTATTTAATAACTATTAATTACAAATGTCTACCTCTGATGGATAAGTCAAAGCCTTGTCTATCGGTTCCCAACGTATTGGTCACAAGACATGTATAATTGCCGACATCTGTCCTCTCAATGCTTGCAATAGTAAGCGTTGAATGTCTGTCAAAGTTTTCAATCTTATAGTTTAGATGAGCACTGGATTTGAGTTTCTGTCCATTTCTGGACCACTCAAATACCAGAGGAAGGGATCCGTCTTGTATTGTGCAAAACACTTGAAAATATGAGCCCAATGTCTGCACTCTATTAGGAAATGCCACTAATTTTGGCACTAAATTGAATCAAAACAATCGTTAATGACTATGAATTGACATTTAAATGGTATAAAGTACCTGAAGAATAGATAGGAATTGTTTGGTGTAATAAAATACATACAATTATATCAATAAATAAATATTTTAAATGCATTTTTGCATTCAATGACAACACAAGAGATGGCCGACAATGTTATGGCCGACAATGGATTCTTGTCTTAAGTATTGTATATTAATAACAAAATGTGTGATAAATATATCATATATTGCGCCACACTTTGTGTCGGATTCACAATAATTTAAGGAAATATATTATTTAAAAATATCATTACAAATAATTTTGGAGAATATCGCAAAAGTTATTGAAATCTAATGATATAAATAAATATCATCGTTCATTGCAACAACTTTTAAATAGCTTTTATAACATGTATTTTATAAATTATGTTTTTATAATCAATTTAATACGAATTAAACAATTAATGATACCTTTTATAGTAAGTAAAACGGATTGAGTGTCAGATCCGATGGCATTTGTGGCAACACATGTATAGTTCGCGGAATCACTTCTTTGGATACTCTCAATAGTAAGCGTTGAAAAACGCATTGAGTTTTCAATCTTATAGTTGACGTCAGGACTGGACTTAATTTGGTGTCCATTTTGTGTCCACTCGAAGAATAGTGGAAGTGATCCGCGACTTACAGAACATACAATATGAAAATATGAGCCTTCGGTTTCATCTCTTCCTATAAGTGGCACTAATTTTGGCGCTAATTATATAAATATTTTACAATCAATTAATTTGCTAACAATTGTGTGGAAACCAAATGACAATACCTGATAATTCCTCACTTAATATATTAATAAATTGTATAAATAATAAAACAAGTTTGAATAAAATATGCATTGAAGGCATTTTTGCAAACATTTTACACAAAATAAAGGCTTGAAAACTATGGCCGACGAGTGATATATCACTGATTGGACTCAATATAGCCTTATATTCGGACAACAATTGCGCCACACTTTGAATGCCATTCAAATTGGATATCATTTGCTATTTTCAAAAGTAAGATGTTTTATGCAATAGTATTAAAACTGTAAGGCAGTAATGCTTTACCATTAAAATCCCAGATATATTGATATTATTTATAACATTTCAACACAATTTAGTGAATAATATTTAAAATTATAACATTAAATCACAAACAATAAATATTTATCAAAATAATATAGGTAAAACAAATAACCTTTGATTGTAAGCAAAACCGATTGTCTATCGCTTCCCATAGAATTGCTGACAACACAGGAATAGTTCGCGGAATCTCTTCTCTCAATCTTCTCAATAGTAAACGTGGAAAACATTTTTGAATTTTCAATCTTATAGTTAACTTCGGGACCAGTTTTGAGTGACTGTCCATTTCTGGACCACTCAAAGAATAGAGGGGATGAGCCCTCATAAACAGTGCATACAATATGAAAATATGAGCCTTCCTTTGGGTTCATTTGCTTCATAAATGGCATTAGTTTTGGCACTAAATTGTAATAACGTGTTAAAAACAATATACAATATATTTATTCAATTGTCTAAATACCTGATACATCACTCGTATATATTTGAGTGATTAAAATACACACAATTATATCAATGAATACATATTTTGAATACATTTTTGCATTCAATGACAACACAAGTGATGGTAAGTTATGGCCGACAATGGATTCTCGTCTTAAGTATTGTATAACAAAATGTGTAATAAATATATCATATATTGCGCCACACTTTGTGTCGGATTCACAATAATTTACACAAATATATTATACGGTAAGAAAAAATGCAAATAGCGTTTAACTGTAAGAATCCGTGTATGAACTCAATAGTCAATAAAATTACTTTAAGATTAAATTCAAAATCCCTTCAAATTATACCATAAAAATATTGACATAATTTAGAGAACAAATTTTTTTATAAACTTATAAATAAATAAAAACCTTTAATAAACAGCAAAACCGATTGCCTGTCACTCCCGGCGCCGTTCCTCACAACACACGTATAGTTTCCGACATCTCTTCTGTCGATCTTTCTTATAGTAAACGTTGAATACATTTCAAAGTTTTCAATCTTATAGTCAACTCCGGGGCCGGACTTAAGTGTCTGTCCATCTCTGGCCCACTGGAAGGAAAGTGGTGTCGAGCCCTCCCTTACTGTGCAAAACACCTGAAAATATGTGCCTTCCGTTTGGTTTATCGCAGCCAACGATGGCATTAGTTTTGGCACTAAATATAATCACAATTATTGCTAATGACATGAAATTCCGGCCGGAATTCGTTAAATACCTGATAAGTGAGTGCTATTTATGCCATGGATTAAGAAATTGAAAAGAAGTGATAATAATATCAAAGACATTGTACTGTAAAACATATAGCGATTCAATGGCCGACTCGGATGTGAGCGGTTTTACAAGACATTTGTGGCATATATTGCGCCACACATTGAATTGCATTGCATTTGCATTGCTTTTGGCGCTCAAGACATGCATTTAAATATCATAAGCAATGCATTGATATATCAATGAACGACTCGATTAAATACACTGTAAGGCTTACAGTTCATTATAACTGCTGTAACATAACTTATGTTGTATAAGTTTTTGAAACATAATACTATTTGTAATTATTTATCAATGAAATTTGTAATACAGAACGGCCCCGAATTTGGCACACGCGATTTTAGCATTTTTCGATTTTAGCATAAGGTTTTCTTAGCACCGGCGAGCCCTATGTATACTGTAATGTTAAATGTATCCGATTTTAGCATTTTCGATTTTGGCAGATTTCGATTTTAGCACTGCTTTTCCACTGTCAGTACAGCATAATCTATGCTTCGTTTTTAGCACATTTGTATAATTTTGAGTGGAAATGTCGGCATATAAGCGGAAAAGGGAATTCACTTTTGAAACAAAATGAACAGTTATTAAATTCATTGACAAAAATGTCTATTATAATGAAATTGTGCCACAATTTAGTGATTAGTGCATAACTTCAAACAAAATTTCGAAAATTAAGTCCCATAGAGTAAATTAAACCTCAAAAATGTGATTTTTTACACAATTTCCTATTTTCGATTTTGGCAGAACTCGATTTTGGCACATATTTTTTATAGCACCAATGAAATGCCAAATTCGGGGCCGTTCTGTATTATTATAATTAGTGAATGAAAGCTTAGATTTACTTTATAACCACAAATTATATGCGCTTCAATGAAGTTATAACTTATACCGAGATCATTTTATTCACTGTTTATTACATTGGTAAATGTAATTGAAAAGTATGATAGATTATATTAACATGTGGAAATATTCATACAAAAAAATTATTAATAATATTCAATAAAATTATTATAACCTTTAATTGTTAATAAAACCGATTGACTGTCAGTTCCCAATGAATTCCTCACAAGACATGTATAGTTCGCGGAATCACTTCTTTGGATACTTTTTATAGTAAAAGTGGAAAACATTTCCTGGTTTTCAATCTTATAGTTAACTTCGGGACCAGTTTTGAGTGACTGTCCATTTCTGGACCACTCGAAGAATAGTGGAAGCGATCCCTCGATAACTGAACACAAAACTTGAAAATAAGTGCTTTCTCTTTGGGTTCTCGGACTTAATATTGGCGTTAATTTTGGCTCTATTTGTGATCAGATTATTATTAGAAATAATGTTTGGATATAATTATAGTTTATAAATACCAAGTGTTTGACTTTTGATGATATTAAAAAGTAATTGAATTAAAAACACACAAAGTATATATTTATAACTCATTGTTGTATTGAATATAAGAAAACACTTTTCGACTCAAAGCTATGGCCGACGACAAGAAGTGTCACAAATGCAGACATTATATGGTTTTCGCAGATATTTTCGCCACCTTTTGATTGCCATTCAATTTGTTTGAGTTTTAGCGCTAAATATACACTCATTTAAGTTTAGATACAAAACTGTAGTCTTATAAACCATATCATAAAATAAAATACAATTTGCTTTGCAATTTAAATATGGTAATTACTAATTACAAAATACTTAAAATATTTTAAGATATTATACCATTTTTGTAATATCTGTACCTTTAATTGTAAGGACAACCGATTGAGTATCAGATCCGATGGCATTTCTCACAACACATGTATAGTTTGCGGAATCGTTTCTATCGATTGTTTCAATACTAAGGGTAGAGGACCTCAAAGATGTCTCAATCTTATAGTTGACGTCAGGACTGGACTTAATTTGGTGTCCATTTCGAGACCATAAGAAGAATAGAGGAGGAGATCCTTCCTGAACAGTACACGTGATCTGCAAATATGAGCCCTCGCTCTGACTCTTATTATACAACGGATCCAATTTGGGAACTATTCAATCAATTCAATGGCTATTATAATATAATTACGATTTAATATCAATTCAAATACCTGTCAATTCAGTGAAATTATGGCCACAAATACACAAACAAATTAAAACAATTAATTTTAAACACATTTCTCGTAAAGTATTCAGAAATTTTGGTCAAACACGAAATGTTGTCTCAAATGAATGGCTCATATCTTATAATAATAGCATAAATACAGACATTTTGGTCACAAATCGTGGCATATATTGCGCCACACATTGTCTGGCAATCAATTCGCCACTCATTTGGCGGCGATATTGAGGTTTGAAAATAACACTCAAGCAATGCATTTACAGTTTTACAAAAATTCTATTGAAACAATTTGACCTGGTAATTTGGACACCTTCTGGTCACTCGATTTAATTAATATTAATTTCATTTCAATCCTTATATATTTAAAAATGATATTCCTTTTACAAAATTAAAATATTATTCAAAATGGCTTCACAGCTCTCACCCGAACTTGAGGCCAACTTTTTCAAGTTTTTAGCCATACAAACCAATGTTATTACCGATTCGGGCAATAATTTCGGCCTAAGACATTAAATATACGAATAAATTATAAATGTATTAATTATAGATGATGATAAAGCAAAAATAATCCAATAACAGTTATAAATGTAGCCACTAAAAATTATATTGTGATGACCAATTTTCAACATTTCAGGGGAGTGTTGAGCTTTAAATCTGACCATGATGGTTTGGGGACAAAAGTTGGCCAACATTACAGATACATAAATATAACTGTGTTATACAATGTTATTTAATATTGTCACTAAGTGTCATACTGTAATATATTAAATTATATTATTTTCGGTCAATTTTCGATATAAACTAATATTCGGGTTCCCATTGAAAATAATGGCTAAAAACTTGAAAAAGTTGGCCTCAAGTTCGGTTGAGAGATGTGAAGGCATTTTAAAAGATATTTTAATTTTGTAAAAAGAATATCATTTTTAAATATATAAGGATTGAAATGAAATTAGTATTAATTAAATCGGGTGACCAGAAGGTGTCCAAATTAACAAGTCAAATTGTTTCAATAGAATTTTTGTAAAACTGTATAAGTGTTAATCGTGTTTGAGATTATCGTGAAATGTAAACCACTATACTATAGAATAAAGATTGTTATAGAGTAATGTAGTATTAAATTATATGCCAATAAATTAAATTAGACTAATTATGGTAAACAATATTCAAAACCTTTAATAGAGAGGACCACAGACTGAGTATCAGATCCAAAGGCATTCCTCGCAAGACATGTATAGTTCGCGGAATCACTTATGCCAATAAATTAAATTAGACTAATTATGGTAAACAATATTCAAAACCTTTAATAGAGAGGACCACAGACTGAGTATCAGATCCAAAGGCATTCCTCGCAAGACATGTATAGTTCGCGGAATCACTTCTTGTGATCTCATCGATAGTAAGTGTGGAGAACTTCTTAGAGCTCTCTATCTTATAGTTAACTTCGGGACTGGTTTTGAGTGTCTGACCATTTCGTGACCACTCGAAGAATACGGGAAACGATCCCTTCTCTACGGCACACACTGTATGAAAATATGAGCCCAAAGTCTGGCTCTTGTGGTTTACAATTGGTGTTAGTTTGGGAACTGATGACAAATAAAGAGATCAGTTTATTATTTCATTCAATGAATTCTTCATTCAATACCTGAGATATCATTTGATAGGATATTATCAGCGAATATACAAAACAATAAATACCATAAAATGCATTTACGGCTCATTTTAGTTGTATAACTTATAACGTGTGAATTGAATGATCAGTAAATAATTTTTACACAAAACTAATGGCCGACAGAAAGACAGACATTGTATAAAGAGGTATAGACTAAGAAAAGGTCCACTTTTAGTGACAATTTGCGCCACACATTGAATTGCAATCAAATTGTTTTCATTTGTATTAAGAATTGGCGCATAACAATAGGGTACAAAAAGTATTTAGAAATGATCATGATAATTTTATGTTACTATAATTGTTCCAACAATTAATACATTAAATATAAAATTTCCACACAATTTGTAAATCAATTTGTAAAATAATTTCAATAAAATAATTAATTTCTACCTTTGATTGAGAGTACAATGGATTGAGTGTCGGATCCAAAAGCATTTCGTAATACACAGGAATAGTTTGCGCCGTCTTTTCGCTCAATCCTCTCAATAGTAAACGTGGAAAACATTTTGTAATTTTCAATCTTATAGTTGACGTCAGGACTGGACTTAATTTGATGTCCATTTTTAGACCACTCAAAGAATAGGGGTTGAGATCCTTCCTGAACAGTACACGTGATCTGAAAGTATGAGCCCTGGCTTTGACTCCTGTGGTTAACAATTGGTGATAATTTGGGAACTGATGGATAAATTTTGCGTTAAATTAATTGCTTATGTCTGACAACACTATACCTGATGTCTGTTCACTGGATTCAAGTATTATTTGAAAATAAAACACAAATAAATAGTATTTAAAAGACATTATTATGTCAATAGTGTTGACAATTGGAAAGACAACTGAAGTAATGGCCGACAATAGGATTGTAAGAAGTGATGGAAAATAAGACACTTCTCTATTGATTGATGTCTACAATAGTGCCACACATTGATTGCCATTCAATGCAGACATCATTTGGCGGTTTAGACATCACTTTTGAACTGTATTTCTATACCGAACTGTAAGACACATTCAAATACATTACATACAGTGATAAATACCAGAAACACTGATACCTGGCTTACATTAGTTGGCAATTAATACAGATATTTATGAGATGAGTCCCTTTTGACAGTTAATTATAAATAATTAATTTGATTGAAATGTTTACAAATTGATACAACATTTGTGGCACGCGTTTCGAGAAAACATTAATGACAACAAGTTTTTACATTAAATTGATATCATTTTGAAACACTTCTGTTAAATGTTATGAATTATATTGAGAGAGCGTCTGAACGCACTTATTATGTCAATGTGTCATAAATATTGATTAAGTCTTAACTGATAATTACTGTAAATTTCCTAACCTTTGATTGACAGCAAAACTGATTGTCGATCAGATCCGTAGGCATTGCTTACAATACATGTATAGTTTGCCTCATCTTTTCGGTCAATCTGTTTGATAGAAAATGCTGAAAATCGGTCCGAATTTTCGATCTTATAATGAGATTCGGAATTAGTTTTAATCGTTTGTCCATTTCGTGACCACTCGAAGAATACGGGAAGAGATCCCGACTCTATTGAACAGAATATATCAAAATATGTGCCAATTGTTTGGTTCTTATATGGCATTAATTGTGACAATTTCGGCGATAATTCTGTATTAAAATTATTCATTAGTTATAAAATCATGAGAAAAATAATCTCAATAATTAATACCTGATTTAACAGAAGTATATGCGAAACAAATACAACACAATGTTATCAATTCAAACAAATTACACTTTGAATACATGTTTATCGTTGAATTATTTGCTACAAAAACACATATAACTCGAGGATTATATGAAAACTAATGGCCGACTCATAGGAATGGCTTTGAAATAACGGATATTTTAGAATATCTTTCGCCACCTTTTGATTCGCAATCAATTTGTTTTTGTTGTGGCGCTTAAAACAGATATCATTTAATACACACTCAATGGCCGCAGAGTTTATCATTATATTTGAATCAATTTATATTTTATATGAAAACATTATAAAACATTTGACTACAGAATATTCTATACCTTTAATCAAAAGCATAACCGTTTGGGAATCGGAGCCAAACGTATTGCTGGCAACACATGTATAGTTTGCCACATCTTTTCGGTCAATCTTTTTGATAGCAAACGTCGAAAAGCGGTCAAAGTTTTCAATCTTATAGTTGACGTCAGGACTGGACTTAATTTGGTGTCCATTACGTGACCACTCGAAGAACACTGGAAGCGATCCCTCATGTATTGAGCAAAACATATCAAAATACGAGCCCTCAGTCTGAGTGCGAGGACTGACAAGAGGTGTTAGTTTAGGCGCCGATTCTGATTAAACACATGTATTATTAATTTGTTGACAATGTTTCGTACAATCAATAAATACCCGTTATATCCAGTGATTGTGTTAAATATATAGTTAACAAAAATATTATAATTAAATGAATTTTTGCACTCATTTTGTAAAACTTATTTTCGAGAGAAATAAAAAAGTGCATGAAATGAACAAAACTATGGCCGACAACAAGAGTGGCATTCAATTCACAATAAGAGTACTCAAAGTCTGGATATATTTCGCCACCTCTTGAATGGCAAACAATTTGTTGGACTTTTGGCGCTTAAAACACATTTCAAAGATATATTTTTGTATGAATACAATAGGATGTCAACCAATATCATGAAGAAAATGTGGTTATATCAATGGTTTATAAATACCTAGGTCAATTCTAACATATACACAACTTGTATAGTACAAAATCGTGTTTACAAACATTAATTATTTATATATTTAATAATAAAATTAATTAAAACCTTTAATTGTTAGGATAACAGACTGAGAGTCAGTTCCCAATGAGTTGCTCACAAGACATGTATAGTTCGCGGAATCACTTCTTGTGATCTCATCGATAGTAAATGTGGAGAACTTCTTAGAGCTCTCTATCTTATAGTTGACGTCAGGACTGGACTTAATTTGTTGTCCATTTCGTGTCCACTCGAAGAATAGTGGATGAGATCCCTCTTGTATTGAACAAAACATCTGAAATACTGAGCCCTCATTTTGAGTGATTTGTTTTAATACAGGTCTTAATTTGGGCACTAATTTTAATAGAAATTTAGTATTAATTGAGGGATAAATCAAGTAATTGTGTTGAATACCTGATACATCACTCATATATATTTGAGTGATTAAAATACACACAATTATATCAATGAATAAATATTTTGAATACATTTTTGCATTTAATACCAACACAAGAGATGGTAAGTTATGGCCGACAATGGATTCTCGTCTTAAGTATTGTATCACAAAATGTGTGATAAATATATCATATATTGCGCCACACTTTGTGTCGGATTCACAATAATTTACGGAAATATATTTAAACACAATTACAAATTACAATAGTATTCAATGAGTAGAGACAACACAAACTGTAAGACCATTACATACTTTTCTTACAATATAGTGTATATTTAAATTATAAAGAAATGTTTTTATTTTATTTTTGTTTTAATTTGTATTTACTTTTATAAATTTAAATAAACTTATTTGTATATGAAATTTATTCATTTAAATAAGAAGTAGTTTATTTATTAAATTTTTATTATATATAGTTAAAACATAATTTGTTATTTTATTTTATAAATTATTTAAATGAAATAAAAAATTGCATTACAATAACGCTATGTCAAACACAACACTTAAAAGTAATTGAAATAAATAATTCATAACAACTTAACCACAAATGAATAAAACTAAATTATAACTAAACTAACGACAAAATTAATTAAAACTCGAGAATTTTGAGATTTTAGTTATTTCCTGTTATTTTCAATACAGTTATTGTACAGATGGTATTTAGTTTTAAACTTAATTAAAATACAGTCTAACTCGGTTATTTAAAAATTAATTTGCTAACTGTTGATGCAAACATATTTTTTAAAGAACAAGATTGGATTCTGGTCCATAGGATTGTCAACTTAAATATGAACATGCTTTCATAAATCTATCTACAAGGATTCATAGTTAGGCCACCTATATATGAGTTCTACTAATATATATCAAAGTATTCTATCATTATAATTGACTCTAATTAAATCACATATTGAATTAAAAACACTCCACGTATACACTTAGAGTGTTCACATAGAGCGACATTAAAACACACAACACAACCATATTTACAATGTACCCGAAGGTGACAATCGTGGTCATTATGGTGATGGCTATTGGGCAGCTAATTGGAACGGGCCTGTGCTCTGACAACGGAAAAGGTTTCATATTTGGAAAAACTAAAATCGATGTACTCAAACACGAGTGCGTTCATTTCGGCGTGAAAAATGAATGCATACATGATCTTTGCATGGTGGACATCAGAAATATACGTTATTGTCTGTCACCGGAGAATATCAAGGACTATAACAGACTTGTCGATAAACTCAAGGAAGTAAGTAAGTAACTAATATTTAAACTCATGTTTCTTAATTTTTATCAGTTAAGCAATATAATGAATATTATATACAAATTAATTTATATTGTGAGCGTTTAAAGCATTGATGATTAGAATTATATCACTTTTAACCTTAATTTAACATTGAATAATGTGATTTTTATAATTGTTTGGCTATCTTTAACGCCCTTAACTTTATGGGATATAATATAGGATAACAGTTTAATTCTATTGCTATACTTAAACCTGGGTTTATTGCGAGTATACAACATTTATTTAAACACAAATATATTATCCAAATTGACTATTAACTAAACTATAGTTAACGCTTGTTTAATAAAATCAATAGCAAATGTTGATCCTATTGAAAAAATAACTAAATATTAGTTGAAAACAATATGTATAACATTAGAAGGTGGGTCAATTTAACTACTAAATAATGTAATTTATTGTGCCGTAACCATTGTGGTTATCGAGAAATCGCCGCCCGTAGAAACAGACCTCTAAAAATACTTTGGCACTATTTTACGGGTTTATTACATTTGCTCGAAGGACATGTTAGTCTTAACAATGTTAGTCTATGGGAAGTAAAATACCCGACTTAGATTTCTAGATAGATATAATAACTTACACCACGATCGCATATCTGCTGAATCTGCATGTTTAATTTTTATTCAATATTTTAATATTACCCACAGATTCACATATAATACTTTATTGTTATTTAACTATATAATACGAAATTTAAACATTTCAAGTGTACAAATATTATTAACAATTGTATTATTTAAAGTGCACCATTTCAATCATAAACAATGATTAATAAGAGTTAAAAAAGATTAATACAAACTATTTGACCCACAGATGCACAACACAAGGCCAAGACAGGTGGTCACCGTGGAAAGCATTGGCACTAATAACCTCTGGTCGACCGCTGGCTGTCTAGTTATACAAGTGATATAACGACGAGTTGTTATTTTACTAATATCAATTGTTAATCATATTATATCCTAATTTTATGAGTAATGAATTGTATTAATATTTTATAACAATTTGTAGACAAAATAAATGATAAAATAAAATTTTAAATAAGTTTAAATTAATTGATTGGATTCGTTGGATTCGAGAAATTACTTTGAATCCGTTTCAGATGTACAGTACATTGTTATTACTTTTGATCAATTAATCAATTATCAATTAAATATTTATAATAATATAAAATCCAAACAAAAATTCTTTGCATAATTAGTGTCGAAAACATTGCCATTGAAGAAGTGTTTTGTCAAAATGCAAACTCAATGTCTGTGTCGTGAGTGCTGTCCACTCGTCAGTGGTATACATGTGTTGACACCTGAGATGTAAATATTTTGGACCCGATTTGACTGACTGTCCATTTCGTGTCCACTCAAAGAATAGAGGAGGAGATCCCAACTCAACACTACATGTTATATGAAAATAAGAGCCAAAGCTTTGACTCCTATCATGAATGACAACCAATTTGGGAACTATTGAGACAATTATTTTAAAAAGATTCTGTCTTTTATATTAACCATTGGATTACCTGAAATAATGTCGGCATTAATTATCACAACTTATAAACACAATTAATACACACTTTAAACTCATATTGAATTGAAGTAATGATACAATGGATACGAAACAACACAATAAGTTATGGCAGTTATGGCCGACAATAACCACAATAACAGCCATTCCTATGGATTAAGTCTTAGAGAGGATATCGTTTGCAGATATCTTTCACCACCTTTTAATTCGCAAACAATTTGTTTCAGTTCTGGCGCTCAATACTAAACATTACATGTATTTCAATGAAATAATACTTCATATAGAAGTTCAATGAAAGGCAAACTATAAGGCGTTTTAATGTAAATATATTGTAAACTAATGTTTAAAACTAATTTAGATTATAATTAAATGTTAAAATAATTTATCATAAAATTAAATACCGTTTATATTGAGTAAAACGGATTGACTATCAAATCCAATGGCATTTTTCACAACACATGTATAATTAGCGGAATCTCTTCTCTCAATGTTCTCAATAATAAGTGTTGAAAAACGCAAAGAGTTTTCAATCTTATAGTTGACGTCAGGACTCGACTTAGTGTTGTCCAAAGGTCAAAAAGTCAAAAAACGAATTGACCTTTGACCCTCAGTGTCATAAAAATCTTTGACTTTGACCCGGGTTAACCCGGGTTAACCTTTTGACCATATTACGTAATTGTTGTCATGACAACAATAGTAATAATTATGTATAATATTAATAATTATTTATTTCTTTCGATACAATTGAATTAACTATATTATTTACATTAATTATATATGAACAATTAATCCTCTTATTGAAATTTAATCAATCTAATCTCTTAATCGGTGCATTTGCACCCGATAAGGTAGGTCACGGTCAAGTGGTTAACCGTATTGGCCGGCTGATGTCATTATATGGGTTATTTTTAGGATATTTTGCAAAAAATATTAGGTATTTTGCAAAAATTTTAAGGTATTTTCTTACTTTTGGGGTTAAAAAGTTAACCCGGGTTAACCCGGGTCAAAAACAAATTTGACTTTTAACCTAATGAGTAAAAAAAAATTTTGACTTTAACCCTGGTTAACCTGAGTCAAAAGTTAACACTGAGTCAATTTGGACTACTCTAACTCGACTTAATTTGGTGTCCGTTTTGTGTCCACTCGAAGAATAGCGGATCCGAGCCTTCAATGACTGAACACAACACGTGGAAAGAAGTTCCTTCCGATTGACTCCTGGGACCAAATATTGGCAACAATTTTGGCACTAATTTTAAATAAAATTTAACTAAAATTAATTATTATTTTGATATAATTATAATTAAATACCTAATACTTCACTCGTGAGGATTGGATTAAATGATTGAATTAAAAGCAAACAAAGTATATATTGATAACTCATTGTTGTATTGAATATAAGAAAACATTTTTCGACTCAAAGCTATGGCCGACGACAAGAAGTGTCGACACAAATGCAGACATTATACGGTTTTCGCCGATATCTTCGCCACCTTTTGATTGCCATTCAATTTGTTTGAGTTTTAGCGCTAAATATATAGTTAGGACACAAACTAATAAACATTAAAACTTATAGTATTTGTAAATCATTTCATGAAATCATTTCGTTTAGGACTTTAATTAAAATTTAAAATAATTATTTATTTTAAAATGTAATAAAATCAACAAACTATTAAAATATGATTCAAATTAGTAAACAATTAATAGAATAAACAATTATTACAAATCATTGATACATTTAAACACTTATTAATAAAATCGGTAAACATTTTAGTAAAGATTTCTAATGTGAAGAAAATTGATATTCAAATTATACGGTATTTCGGGAAACAATTGTTTGAATCCTTGTTTGAGATGACTATTAAACAAAAAACTATAGCTATTGTTAGGCCATTGGGTGGCCAACTGAACGAACGCCGCAATGGATCCAGTGGTGATGTCTTCGCAACGCGAGACATCTACACGAGTAAGTTGTGGACAACTCTTAACAAGTTTTATCAGCAGATCATCGCTCAACTCAGGAGTTGTGGACACTTTCAGATACGACAATCGCTTTAATGTCTCGATGGGTGCCATACAAAGTGCCGGTGCGGCCGGAAATCTAACATAAGTTAACTCTAGTTTCTGGAGTTGGGGTACAAATCGGGCGATCCCTTCGACACAGTCGACGGTCAGTGCCGTAGACTCTATGCGAAGCGATCGCAACTTCAGACACGCCTTCAGCGGTTTGATCTCCGGGTAACCAATGATGGGCTGATCGTGATCTATGAGAAGATGTAGTTTTTCCAACTGATCCAAGCGGGAGATGTCGCCAAAGAAGCGCCGCATTTGATCCGAAGTGACATTTGGCGAGAATGACGAACAATACAGACATCGAAGCGATTGGAAGCGATCGGCGATCAAAGACATGGACTTCAGCGCCATTATGTCAAACACTCGCAACGTTTTCATATGATTGGGCTGTTTGTGAGCCAAACATTGTATGGCGTTATCGTTGAACAAATAGCCCGGAGTTTTGATTACTTGAATACCGCTATTCATGTATTTAAACACTTTTCCTTTGTATGTCTCGACGTCTATGTGTTGTTCACTATTCGACAAAAGGCTCATCAAAATAAAGACCTCGAGTTTTGGCAAATTCTTCAGCAACTCTTTGATTGTCTTCTCTTTGATCAACACATAGAATGACTCGAATTGAAAGACACGAAGATTGGGATACTTTACGGTCATCGCAAGCACTTCCTGTTCGGTGACAGTGATCTTCTTATCGCAGCAAACGATTGACAACTGTTGCAGATCTCGGTCACAGCTGGCGGTCACTGTCCGCAAGAGTCGCCGATTGATATGACATTTCATGAGACACACGTACAGTGTGTTTAAATTGGGAAACTTTGCCACCACCATGGTCAGTAGGCGCTGGAAATCAGATCGTGTGATTGTATTGGTGGCTAGGAATGGACTCAATGAGACGATTGACTGGTGGCCGCCGTTTATGTCCAGACCGTAAGGCTTGTAATCGCCGTAACGTCGGCCGTGTAGTCGGCTTTCGGTGTCTTCAATCAATAGACTTGTTTTGACCGCAAATGTGTGTTCAATGAGACGATACCATCGTTTGCACACTAACTGTGCCCTCAGTTTTGATTGAAAGTCCAATTTGTGGCAAATTTTCATTAGTATCTCATTTGGCAGACAGTTTATGGTCGCGCCGGCGGTCGAAGTGTCCGCCCATTTATAGCCCAAAATGCTATTTAATACCGAAAAAGTCATTGAAATTATTGATGAAATTAATTGAATTACTGATTGCAATGAACACATGCTTTATCCTCAATGAATAGCAAATATAATACAATAAAACAATTTTATAATAAAATATAAAAATTTATGACAAGATTTCAATAGGAATTTGGTGTCAAGTCTTAAAATTAAGGCATTTTCCATAGAAAAACATTTACAGTGATTTGCTATGTGTTTGAAAATTTAATGTCAAATTCAAACTTTACATTATACTGAACGAGATGTTAATAATTAATTTTTGAAGCTGAATAATTGTCGTATTTCAATGGGATTAATAAAGTGTACAATAAAAGCATTAAGTTAAAAGTTAAAAGTTTTTAAAAGTTTTAACTTAAAACTATAATCAACTTATTTTCTAACATTAAAGTTGTAAAAATAAATGTGAAAATTACTATATAAATTACTATGTACATTTTTATAACTAATAAATTATTGCTATTAATCTTTTAATCAATTAATTCAGACTTTATATATGTCTATTGCCTTTCAATTGATACCTATTATGCAGTTTTATCTCCACATCCGATACAGTGCTCCTCAACGACACGCTGTACTCAATGGCCCCCGACTTACAGTCCAGGGATTCACTTATTTTCAAATCACATTCAACTGACTCTAAGTTAATGTTCATATTTCCTACCAATTTATGCCGTTTTGGCGACATATTTGCCAATTAATCAGTTTTTATAAATGAGTTTAGGTTTTGTCAAAACAAAGGTTTAAATATTTAAATCAATTTTATTGAAATATTTATAGTGTTTGAGCACTCATTAAAACAATATAAAATTGTTGCCAAAATTATTGTTATTTTAACAACTTATAAGACTTTAGCATTAAATGCAAACAATAAATAAATCACATTAAAAATATTATTCAACGACTTTTATGCTAAAATCAATAAAAATATTAATTAAAAAACACATTAAATTATAAATTTATACAGGTATTCATTTGGATGTGTTTGGCGTGACTTTCTTGAGTATCACATAATATGTGATCAATCGATACACTATAATGTGTAGGAAAAGCATGAATATAGCAATAAAATATTCAAAATTAACTAAATTAAAGTTATCCATAATTATAGATGTTTTGTCGCCGTTTTTGTCGCCCGAAAGCAATGAATTCATTGCTTTCAATAGCAATGCGGAGTCTATTTTGTCGGACGTATAGATGGCCATCAGTTTGTCGGCCGGAATCTCATCCATAATGTTGATGGTATGGTTGGCCGACACGACCTCCGCTTCGCATCGATTAAAGCCGTAGCTATTGATGAGAACAGCGGCCAAACCAAACCTAATGTAATTCAGATACGATAGCGCTTGGAATGCAAATGGCATTGCATTCAGTTTTATCAATATTCCTAATTAAAAACAATATAATTAATTAATTAATATAAGTAATAATTATTTATATATTTTAAACTTTTTCAATTTATAATTTCATAAAAATACCTGATAATAGTATTAGAGGCACCAGAGAAAGCATACCGATAAATGCGATAGCACCAGGGTGGTTGGATAGGGAGGCACCGATTAGAAAGCCGAGTGCACTCGAGTTGAATGTGATTAACATAAATATAAAGATAAAGTTATAGAGACGCCAGACGTCGGCCATGTATTGTCCGGTCCATAAATATACCGGAACTGAAGCCAAATGTGGTAACAATAGTGTGAATGGGATATCACTTAACACTTTGGATGCAAAGTATGAGAAACAAGAATAATATCCGTTTCCGTATTCCTATTGAATAATAATTTTGTTTAAAAAACAATAAATAAATGTTTGTAATAAAACCTGAAGGTAAACATTCAGCTCAATTGGAAATATTAATAGTACTGGAAATATGCCCCCAAACCACCCAAACAGGCAGATAAAGGCCAGTCCGCAGCAGTTTTCAAACAGATCGGCCGATCGAGACATAATGTATTCAATGATATTCCCGTTATCTCTGAAGTTGAGCTCTTGAGGACAGCCGGACAGCACTCCGCTATCCCTACCAAACAATAAACTAATCAAAAAAGCGACTAAAATATAGCCAAAGAACCGCATCGGAAGCATAAACGGGTCCCTAATCATCGACAGAAAGGATCTGTTTTGTGATCAAAACAAGATATTAAATTAAAAGCAAAAATGTTAATAAAAATTAAAACCTTTAATCAAAAATAATATTATAAAAATATAATATTTACCTTATGGTCAAATAGTAGACACATCTCTTTGTGTTAAATTCGCGTTCAATACGGATGCGGTACTTATTTGTGGGCATTTGTTTTGCTTCGTTGGTGACAATCGCCGCGAGAGTGACGAGTCGGTCGACGCCGTGCTCTTTGGACGCCACCTCCAGACCAAAGTCTGAGGGATTGGTAAATGTGGGACAATTGAGTCCGCACTCACTGAACGTATACCTCATCTTTCCGGGCGATCCGTTGTAAATGCACTGACCGTCGGCTGAGAGCAGATATATTGTGTCAAACAGATTGAAGAGTCGCGCCGACGGCTGATGTATAGTCAGCACAACAGCCACCGGTTCCGGCTGTTGGGTCAGCTCAATGAGTGTAGTAATCAATTGCCATGTAGTGACTGAGTCGAGGCCAGTGGTGGGCTCGTCTAGTATCAAGATGTTGGGTCTGGACACCAGTTCCAGTGCGATCAGCACTCGTTTCAATTGTCCGCCCGAACACCTGTCGGGCCGGTTGTCGGCACACCTCTGGATGTTTAGTTTGGCGATAACGTCGGCCACAATACCCTTGTGATCGCACACCGGGTCGTTCTTCAGCTTCGATGCAAACATCAGCGACTCTCTCACTGTCAGCCTCTGGAGGACATAGTTTTCCTGTATTATAAACGCAAACTTTACCTAAATTTTTGGCATAAATTATTTTTATTTAATTAAATCAATTAAATATAAACTCTATTATTATTAAAATAGTTTATATTGATTATTTAACATAACAGACCCTGATGTCGGTGGAAATAGTGATAGATCCGGAAAGGCCCTTGGTCTTAATGCCGGCAATACAGCCCAATAATGTAGATTTGCCGCAACCGGACGGACCCATAATACCGGTGATCTGACCGCTCATGAAATGGCCGTTCACTTCGTTGAGGATTACTTTTTTAACGCCCGAGTGTTGGGTCGCAGTGTAGGTCAGGTTCCGCCACTGGACCCGAAACGGATCCGCATAATCAGTGCTGGATTTGATGAGATAGTTGTTTTTTGTCTCAGCAAACACTTTATTGGACATTATCAACAATATTAGATAATGTGATATTATATTATAATATAATCACTTTACGCATTAATAGTTTTACAGAATATTCAAATAAAAGTCAAAAATGTGCATTATTTAAATATAAGTAAAAGTAAAATTATTATTTGAATTATTGTTTAAATATTTGAAGTTTTAAGTATATTTATATAATTTATTTAATGCAAATAATATGGTAGTTTTCATTAATATTGTAACAAATAAAGTGGTTATGCTAGGATACGCCCACTTAATAGGGGTTTTACCCCCTTTTAGTATTTTTTCGCGCTTTCCCACGATGACTGTACCTTTTTGAATCAGAG